AGTTGACTTCAGGCTTCACAGAGGGAGAGGAACATCAAATCGAAAAAAGTCGAGAGTGGGGGGGGGAACAGATGAGTGTTTTAAAGATGTAAAAGAGACAGACACAAAGGTCGATGAAAGGTGAGGTGAGTACTGCGGAAGTAGTCGAATAGGACATACAGTGGGGTCATGATAGCTTGAACTCAGAAGTCAACTGCCGGTTTATAGACTTTTTGCCGCATGAGTATACGTTGCCCAGGGTGCACCACGTGGAGGTAAGTCTATCATATTAGATGGTTTTGTTTATCACTTATTTTTTTCCTGTTTAACTCACGGTTACTAATGGCATTCCCCCTTCCTTCCCTCCCAAGAAATTTCTCGAATGGTTTACTGAAGTTACGATCATCTTTGATGACTTCTGGTCTTTCGAAACAAAATGTGGCCGGACATCTGCGTAATTTTTTCGCTTCCCATGGCATACCGAAGAGTAATCCTAATCTGAATGACCTTCTCCGTCATCTGGTATCGGAAACTGGTTCTCCTGCAATTTCCACTCTCATTTCTTCCAGCTCAGAAAATGTGGTTACGAAAACTGACAAATCGGATGGTGTTTCTGTGGTTACTGCTCATCTCGAATCAACTCCCTCTTCTCTAAAAAGGCCTCTCTCTACAATGAGTGAAGAGGAAAGCGTTGGAACTTACACGCGCTACCAAACTCCCTTGTTTGAGGCTATTAGTAAGCAAATAGTTTCACTCTAATTGAAAGATCAATTATTTTAATCACATTTACTTTTCACAATATATTCTTATTGCTATTTCGAGTAGGAGCTATTGCACAAAAATTTCCCTAATTATATCAGCTAGGCTAGGTGCGTTGGTCGTCATATATGTCTGCTATGTCAGAGGTCATAGGTTTGGTCCTGTCTGCGCCCACCCTGTGAATGGAATGACAAACTGCAATTGATTAAGTCTGGCTAATGTGGAGGGTGAAGGGGTTAAATTCTTTTCCATTTTACTAAGATGAGCATCCGATAACGCTTTCCTCAATAGGCTTACAAATTGTTTCTTCCATGCATGATGTCTTTCAACTATTTCTAGATTTTCCCAAGTATAACTGCTTCCGCAGTAGAATGTCTAATTTCTTACAATGTGCTCTATTCATCCGCAAGCCATTGCTCATTTTATTGATGCTCTTAACCCAAGTAACTGTCAAGCTCTCTTAGGTGATGATCAAAGACTTGTTGGCAGCCTGTTGAAATTGATCCTCTCTGATTTCAGGCTTTTTGTGTAGGCATCAGACCACACATCCATATTGGTCTTTCTTTACTAAGGCTTGAAGATGATTGTCTGTTGCTATCTGAGTTTCGCTCTTTTAGTTTGAATACTGTGAATTGATGCAATTGGTTTCAATGCCCTGCCCCCCTGACGGAGGTTTCCACAGTATTAAGCTGTGATTCATAAAGCCCGAAAAGACTCGAAGTCGCGATGCGGTCAAATCAGAATTGAGATTGTCGTTAGTGGGCAGTGCTTACCGTAGAGTCTTAAAAGAGTCTGTCTAGATTAAGGCTAGCTAATGAGCCCTTTGTTTTAAGTTGAGTTAAAACAGTCACATTGAGGAGGTATCTCTCATCGAAGCTATGGATTTAATTTGTTAGAACTTATTTGAATGACATTCATAGATGTTTTCTATGCCCATTTTTTGCCCTTCTCACTGTTCTCTCTCTCTATCGTTTAGCAATGCTTGTTTGTTTTTCTTCTCTTATCCAGATGCAGTTCAAAGAAACATGTTGGACACATCGGGAGTACCATCTTTGCGTTCCAGCTTTCTTGAGCACGGCATCTCCTCACACAATTCCCCATACGCTGATGCAATTGGATACGAGGGCGAGAAATTGGTCTATCAGAGCTTTTTAGCGCGAATTCAGAGTTTGCAGGATTTCGATTTTCCTACTGGACATCCTGAGCTAGGGCCGGGTAGACTGATTAAAGCCGAGTGGTTGAATTCCTCTGCAGAATCGAGACAACCCTTTGATATCGAAATCTACCTTGAAGGTTAGTTTTCTACATATTTCGAAGTGGACCTTTTATGGGATTGAAGTTTATTTTTTCTTCCAAACCTAGTGAAAGGATCAATTGAAAGCCTCGATTCATCATTCAGGAAGGCCATATCTACTGGTGTAATCAAGCAGTCACCCGATTCGAATAGCCTCCTTCATGTCGGACCGATCTTTGTTGAAGTGAAATCTACTAGTGTTTCGTCATCACTTGCTGGTGACTCTTTCAAAGAACGTGGTGATCTATTTGAGATCTCATTAGCTGAGGTGTCTTATGCTCAGAAGATGGATTGGAGATTCCATGTCATCCGGTACCGTCATATTCGAGATGAGAAAAAATCTGAAATGCTACACGTTCCAAATCTTGCCTTAGCTCTGCTGCGCGACCCACAACACTTTCATATATATATTGGAATGAGGGGCTGACAGGTTGCATTTTTGCCTTTATTTTGCAGATATTGTGTAGTAAATATGAAATCAATATAGATATTAAACAAATATAAACCAATTTTCTTAAAACATTGTGTTTGCTTATTTCATTTTTCTTTGAAAAGTAGAAATTTTATGTTAGAATAGTGAATATGTCGATCAGCTAGCTTGTTGCAGGAATGAGATCAGTTATTTGTAAAGCTGATTAAGAAATAAAATATCCTCGAAGGTCGCTTTAGCGTTTAAGGGGATTATCAAAGTAATGATATTTCAGTCATTTCATTTATTGCTAAGCTTTTATCAATACTCTTGCGATTCAGGAGCTCCCTTTTTTCGGCTCTATCCGCAGAGGCACGCAAACATAATAAAAAGATATTGAGAGCTTATAGGCCACATTTTAAAAATGGGTGAATGTGGATCTCGGATACCGCTGAACCGATAATGCCTGAGATGAATAAGTGTTGAAGAACGTGTTTACTAAATGTCAATGAGTACGAAAAAATATCACAATTTGAAGGATCTGTCATATCACAAATTATAATGGAATGGTTGAGCATCCATTTGCTCTATATGTTAATGGGAATTTGTGAGGACGGTTCATTGTCAAAGGTCAGTCTGGGTATTCCTCTAATAATTTACATTATTAGAAATAATATAAATTGCTTATTGCAAGGCGAAAATTGGATTAACGAATGACATATCAGAAATAGTTTTATCGAAAAAATATGGCATTGGAATCAAATTTTCCTATGGACAAGGTACAAATTACTAATTGATTTATAAGATCAAAGTTGAATAAAGGTTAAAATACTATGAAGTATATAAAACCGAAACCTGGCGGTGATGAAAAAATGTACAAATAATTAAAAAGGACACATTTAATGATAGTTTTGACTTCAATGATAGTCGCATAATCAATAAAATTAAATTAATATGATAAACTAAACGTAAGGTACATATTCTAAAACTGTGATTAAAATATCTCTAAATGAAACAAAAAACATATTATGATACATTTCATTTAATCGTATCAATTGAATTGCGGTCCAATCAAGTTTTTCATTTTTCGTTCGGCGTTCCAGGTTTGCCTTGCTCACTCTTCTTTTTCAATGCTTGCTCCATTCCTTTATTCATTGAGTGCTTTTACTTAGAATGTCGCACGATATTCGCCACAGATCATCATATTACAGAGATCGATCACGATCACCCTTTGAGCATAGACGTTCTAAATCGCCATTCGCAGGTGAGTTTAAACGGCCAGATCAACCAAGAAGGTATAAGCCTTTTGAGATAGGCTATCAAACTCCAGAATTTTGGCAGAACAGACGTCAAGCTCGCGAGGATGCTGGCGCAGCACCAAACAAGAAAATTTGGGGAGATCCTCCATCAGAACCCTATACTGATTCCGAAGAAGAGTACTCAGAATTCACCCATGAAGGGCCTCTTCCTCCGGTCGCACAATCTTCTTCACACCAAGGGGAACATAAAAAGCACAAGAGGAAGAACCACGATAAGACGGATAAGGAGACTAAGAAAAAGAGTAGTAAGAAGCATAAATCCCACCGTAAACACAAGAAGCGCCATCATAAAGGTTCTAGAAGGAAGCATCGTCATTCATCCTCTATCTCCTCATCATCTTCTTCAAGTAGTTCATCGAGTGAGGAAGACGAAGCCAAGTCATTCATACGTCAAATGAAACAGAAAAAGGCGGAAATTGAGAGGAAACGGCAGGAAGAGGAAGAAGCAACGGATATTATTGGTCCTGTTCTACCTGGCCAGAGTGCAGATGCGGCCAATCAAAGAATCGACTATGGTAAAGCTCTGTTACCTGGAGAAGGCGCAGCCATGGCAGCCTATATCGCAGAAGGAAAACGTATACCTAGGCGAGGTGAAATCGGCCTCACTTCAGAGGAAATTGAAAAGTTCGAATCAGTTGGCTATGTCATGTCAGGCAGTCGACATCATCGTATGGAGGCTGTGCGTTTGAGAAAAGAAAATCAAATCTATTCGGCAGACGAAAAGAGAGCTTTGGAGAGCTTCAATCACACAGAAAGAGCAAAACGTGAAGCGAAACTGCAGGCACAATTCAAAGCTCTGGTTAAGAAGAAGTTGGAGGATAAACAAAATTCTCACATGTAAATATTTACTCTCTTTTCTCTTTTGTGCATATTAATGACATTTTAAATGATTATATATTTATTTTTTTCGTATAGTGCTGTAGTATTACATTTTTCTTCCATTTTGTGTTGGTTTTTTGATAACTTTGTTTATTTCGTTTTCATGTTTCTTGGTTAGTAGGTATATATATTGTCACGAATTGTGGACATCCTTTATATAGAAATGTCCGAAATGCTTCTTCCAGTCATTAATACTTCATTATTGCTTTCAATTTGAGGTTTACTCAAAAGGCAATAGGAGGTCGTTTAAGGCTGTTTTGCTGGATGGAAATAAATGCTAGCTCAAATAACTAATTTCCTTTTCACGGGGTTGATAAAGAATGTCGTTTGGAAGAGCTTATCTGATCTCCTCAAACTGCATTATTGAATGTGGAAAGAAACTAAATGAAGTAGTTAGAAGTAGGGTGACTCGTTTGCAATGTGATAATGTTAGCAGACTTTTGTCAAAAACTGACATGTGAGTGTCTTCAGCTCTGGGAGCATCAAACTCTGAATGAGGCGTAGATTTGTGTCAGCGCCTGAGTTACGATATGGTACACAGATGGAGATCTAGTGTACAAGCAACTAAAGTTGTGCGATTTGTTTGGATTCACTGAAAATATTTGACAGCAATTGCATGCTAGAACCTATTCCGTATATTTTCTAACAACACCTTGGAAGTCTGCTCAAATGATTGGGTTTTATAGGAATGATGTGAGAGTGAACACTGATTGCGCTTTCGGATGCAAATTTCAGCGAGAATTCAACTTCAGAACTATCGAGTAAAGAGAGAACAGCGATTATCATAGCTTACGCAATTATTTTAATGGCAACTAATGATCTAAAATGGCTAGAGAAGAAAATGGGATTGAAATAAATTGAAACCAGTTTATAAACCACGCGCACCACACCCCCCCCCCCTCCAGGCTGTTAGCCTCGACCAAGTCAATATGTATGAATTACAAATGATTTTTGAATGTTGCTGATTCAGATCGATTTCGATCACTTTAATCATCCGACATCTTCTCTCTGACTGTTATGTATTTTATCCTACCATTAGATTCGTTTTTGTTGGCAGATAACAATCTAAGACTGTAGTGCGTTAACTTCTTTGCTGCAAACAAGACACCTATCTGTGCCAGCAAAATAGGATGTCGTCAAGTAATCTCCCGTCTTCCAACATTTGGCCCTGGAAATTTAAAGGATAGTGATTTGGCTACATTAAATTTGAAGGTAACTAAGATAATGCCTCAATAAAAACAATTTCGACGTAAAACTCCATGCTCACTTTGCAATCGCAGGTCACAATCACTCATGAAGAATAATTGCATTCTGAAGGATTTTATAGTCAGTATCTATCTTACAAAATACTAGCATTTCACATTATTCGAATCAAACCAGAGCGAATGAAGAATTCAAGCATCTCATCGAAAGAGTAAAAGTAGAAAGGTGTGGATTTTTGAATAGAGGGTCGTACAACGACACCACCGAAGCCGATGAAAGCGTCTGCGGGAGGAGAAGCAGCTGCATCTGTGGCTCCATCACCAACCATAAGTACCCCTTCATTCAAAGAAAGTTTCAACTTTATTTGTGCCACAACTTCACTTTTCCCGTTTGAACGAGAAGTAGGTTGATTACGATCAAAGTCTATTACTAAACCTGAGAGGGGGAGTTAGAATAAGAATGAATAGACACCGTCATTGTTGTATATCAGTCGGTTTGCGAATACGTGAGTGTCAGGAACTGATAATTGCTTGGCGACTCGATCAACAAGTTCATGAATTCCACCACTGATAAGGTAGATCTCGATTTCATTTTTTCGTAAAATAGAAATGAGTTTTCTACAAATGACTGTTTGTAAAGAATAGCGGGTAAAATTCAAAATTCAGTTGGAAAAATAGAATATGTACTCAATGCCAGGTGTTAGCTTTAGTGGAGTTTCATCCAAAAATTGTTGAATTAGATCTTTTGTAAGATTAAGGACCTTCAAACGTTGATCAAGAGATTCTGTAAAGTCTAATCTTCCATCCATGGCTTGAGCTGTTCTAAAAGGAGTAATCTGCATTAGCTTGGCAAATACGAAAGAGAAAAATGAAAAAAACTGACATACAACTGTTTTATTACTTCACCCTTATTGCAGAATTCAGCAAGTACATCGACACCTTCATCTGGACAAACCGTAGAATCCACATCGAAACATATAACTCTTACATTCGAGAAATCAGTAATTGAGCTAAAATTATAAACGGGCGCTTAAATAACGATGAAAACATGATAAGAATGTCCTTTATACGCACTCCAAACTAACATCATCATGCCTCCCCTCCCCAAGGTTAAGGTCATACCCTTGAACTAGAATGTCATCAATAATAAATATATATGATTTTTTCTCGAATAAAGGGATAATGAAAACTGGTTTCCAATTCTGATTTCACAAATTTCATTAATGACTGAGGTTTATAAATCCATATCCCTGTCCCTATTGTTTCCTATATCGAGAATATAACAAAAAAGTCTACAATTGATATTCAGATCTGTGAACAGTATTAATCGCTTTGCTATTTACTGCGATTTCTTACTATTACAAGTTATCTAATTTCATTAGAGAATATAAATTAATTGAAATTAAATTAATTTGTTCAAAAAAAGAATTAGAAGCGGGCAAGACTCGTTTTACTCGGAATGTCTTACTTTTTATTACCTATGATAAGGGCTTCCCATATTTATATAAGCTTATTTTTAACAGGCTCACTTAATTCTAATACTAAAATGCACTATTATATATCCGAATTTCAACTTGAAAAATAAGAGCAATGGAATGATTTGAACTAATAAATTTTGCAATAAAATTGATATTGCGTTATTCTCCTTTAATGCAGTAGCTGTTGTACTTAATGCTTTCCCAAAATACGTACTCTGATCGAGTTGCCTGTTAGTTTCTGGTGGGCTGAATAAAACCAGTTTGATCACATTACACGATAAAATTCTTGGTAATCAGATGAATGCTATAGAAGTGACCATAATGTTGCATTCATTTTTATCCCCGATCCCCATTTATATGCTCTTAACGAAATCCCAGTTTTGCTACCTTGTTTTAAAATACAAAATGCATCTTCTAGCTATATTTTAAAGTATTTTATGCTGATTATCTATTTGTGCATTATTCACATCTGATTTAAATACACTTTTCTTAAGTGAACACTTGCTTGCAAAATTTATCTAGAAATAGTTCAAACGGAAGTCATATAAATTTATAATTTCCAAAAAATACCAAACGTTCAAACAACTCCAAACTTTGCTATTGTGTATTTCATTAAAGGTATAATAAACCGTAACTATAGTATCAAATTTAACCCTCTAAACAAATATGCTGGATGAAATTCCAGATGCTTTCTATTGGACTATAGAGGATGTGTGCAAATGGATCGAAGGATTAGGCTTCCCTCATTACAAAGTACTTTCCCCTAAAATGCATAATTTTATTAATCAAAAGGATTGTTTTATTAATAATCGTATCGATGGTAGAAAATTGATCCAAATTGATACAAATTCTTTGCCGAAGATGGGAATAACTAAGTTTGAAGATATTCAAGTAATGAACCCAGAAAATAATTATTATTAGGTAATAACCGCATCAGTTCGAAAAATTCTTAATTTGGATCCTTTGCAAAGCAACCGATCGATAAGACTGCCTCCTAGAAATACAACAGGTTAACTTAATCCTTAGTACTTTTAAGGCTCCTAAATAGGTCTCTTTTTAGAGATGAAATTAACAAATAATCCAATTGCCAATCATTCTATTCCACGTTTTGAGCGTGAAGTTGAAAATAGAGTGTTTGCAACCACGCTGGCAAACATGGGCTTTGCATTCAACTATCCCTAGACGAATATTCCGGTTGTACTTCATCTATATGGAGGGGCGTTTGATTAACCACCATATCCGAAATAGCTCCTTATCTAAGAATTTTCTTTACACAGAATCATAGATTAACAAATTAAATTTATAATTCAAAATGAAATTATTATCATTATGTTGCATTCATTTAATAAATGGTTTTATTATTTTCACTAATTACGAAGTAAACTAATTTTCTCTGTATTTTCACTCTTGCTAATTCGTTATTTAAATCGATTTGGCCTTAATTTTAATTCCCATTTGTTAATATTCACAATCTTTGTATAAGTTAACGCGACCACAATATGTGCGCAATTATTTTTGCAGTGGTTCATGAAATCGCATTCGTTTTGATCAGCAGGGAAGATAAGCCGTGAGTGAGAGGGAGTGAATTGTCTCTCAACTCAAACGAATTTCCTCTATTCGCAGTTTGGTTGAGTTCTCGTATGCAATTGTATTTTGTGATTGCTTCGAATCTGTGCATTGTTTGTGAGGAGATAAATGGTAGATAGAATGAGGCTGAAATAATTTAACCCCTAACCAGTCTGTCTAATCAAGAGGAAGATAAAAAGCGCTAAAACTTAAGCCATTTATTGATTTTGAATTTTAATTCAAAATAGATTGTCTTGGGCCTTTTATTTTTATTGGGCAGTTTCAGGTCATTTTTATCACTGGCCCTTTCTGCTGAAATAACTGGGTGGTTTAAAGGCTGGAAAGGTCACATGTCTCAAGCATATTATTTATTTTAGGTCAGCAGAAGAATTGATTGATATTGATTGATGATTGATATTCCCATATTTCCTAGGTAAAAATAATGACAGATTTATCAACAAAATTAATTTCCATTCAATGAAATAACTAACCCAACCATTCGCTTTAAGCTCCCAAGTTATCGAGTGAGTTTTTTTCTGATAAGACTTAATGAATCGCTTATCTATGGAGGCCATCTTAATGAGGTAAAAATGCAAGCTGAAATTATTCGAAGAGCGAAGGACCCCAAAGTTTATTATTTGAATTTAAATCGAGTTAATGCTTTCTGTAGTAAGTTTTTTATCTACATGTGGATTCAGACATTTTTATGTCATCTAAAGTTGGTTAAATTATGTTAAGAGCTTGAAGAAAATTGTGATTTTTCAGATTTCCTATCTTCTCCCTTTATTCATGGTAACATATGACCATTCTCAAATCGTAGTGATTTTTTTGAAATAATCAACTTAATTTGATAAACAGGAGGATGCAACTAACAGTGTCATTAAAATTTTTGCTAATGAATAAATGAATAAACACATTTTGATGCAGGATTTTAAATATATTCACCCCTATCGACCTTCTGGTGGGTGCGATCACTGTTAATAGTTAAGGCTATAAAACGCATTCATGAATTTTGAATGCAAGCATAACCTAGACTACCACATCAGAAATTGACTACAGTGACAGTAGCCTATGCAACCTCAAAGCTTTAAATTTTAGTTAGTCGTAGGCAGTTGCTCATCCACAGTTACTTCTATTCAGAAACCAGTCAATTTAGCCCTATCATTGCCTCTCTCATAGTCCAAAAGAAAACAATTGGTGTTAGCGTGTAAGAAGACTAATAATGCATTGAATCACGAGTTTATTGGACCGCTGGAAGTGGAGTAAGGGGGAAAAGAAAGTGTGGTGGAAAATTGGGATGAAAGAGGGAGAGGTGTCAGTGCTGAGGGTGGGTGATCCGATTTGTGCTGGACAGTCGAAGTCAGTGCTGACTGATTTTATCTTTTTGCGTGAGTAACTCGGTGAGTATAGGATGAGCAACCCATTCAGAATGGCCATCAATTAGGCATGACCATAAAGTACGGGGGTAGAACGGACCTGCGAGTCAAGGTGTAAAGTACTGCAAAATTTATCGAATTTCCCTCTCACGTTTGTATATTTGCATAAATGACAAAAGCTTGCAAGCATTCAAAATTATGACTTATTGGAGTTTGAAAAGGTTTTGGGAAATTAAAAGTGCGTTATGACCAGAAATAGTTAGTTTTCCCTTTTTTTGTTTCCATGATAATAAATCAATATTCCATTAAGAGAAAGTTTGTGATGTAATTCTCAAAATTTAAATTTCAAACTTCTTCAGCTGGTTTTTTCATAAAACAATTTTAGGTTTATCCTTTTGAGCAATTGGTTTAAAGAATTTTCAATTTAAAGCATCTAAGTAACTTTTTTGCAGTAAATAGACCCATATTCTGCGTTCTCATATCATTTGCGTAAAAATATAATTCCTCTATTATTAAACATAATCATTATAACTATTATTACATTTTAATCTTATTATCATCAAATTGGAAACTGTTTAAATAAGAATTATCAACTGCAAAGTTAAAAGAATAAATCAATTATCATCTTTGAGTTACGGAACCCCTACTTATACAAATATTAACAAGCATTTCAGTAATTGGAATTACGATGAATAGAACGTGATATACTTAATTAATTATTATATTTACGCTTGCCAGGTAGATCGTTAATGACACATTTGGTGCTCATTAAGAGAATGGCAGATCAAGTCAATCTTGTCTACTTGTCTTCCATGGAATAAATAAGGTACAAATTTACTGTTCATATGAAGTTGTGTACATTATCAAATTGGCCTAATGGAATTTGTATAGTCCTGATGGTTTGATTCCAAAAGCAGACGTTCAACCATTCTATTCTTTGGTATCTTCCTCAAAGTACTAATCTCTTCTTGCGTCAACGAGAGCTGACTCTGACGAAAATGCAAGGTACCCGGTTGTGAAAACACACGTTGAATATACTTATTCCCAATTCCAGTAACATTCACTTTCGGATATGTATGAAAGTCGACTCCCGGGTTGTGGTATCGTCTATTCAACTCCTCTTTGTGAATCATTTGGCAATCACATTGTTCTGACCGAGTGTTCCAGGGATCAGCAAGAGATCCACTACTTGCCGGTCGATTAGATCTATATTCCATTAATTCAGCATGCTTGTTGGAGAAGGCGAAAATCATATCCCTTTCATCAGGCAGGGGTGACATAAAGCGAGCCGTTTGTTGGCGCAATTTGTACACAAAGTAGGTGAGGACGCAAATAATGCATATTAGAAAAGACAAAAGGATAATCGCTAGACCAATTAAAACAAACAACGAGGTGGCATTGAAGTCGCAAGCACTGCGATGGTTGAGATAGCTGGTGTTAGCGGAAATATCCGCCTCCATCTTCTACAACAAACAAATAAATTAGTTAGTCTTCTTTATTTCTTTGTTATAGTAATACCTGTTTAACACTTAGAATTCATAATAAATCTTGTAATACTAGATAGAAGTTCCAATTCTCCTAAATATGTCATGCACCGATTTAAATGTCTATTGTTTGCAACTTCTTCTGGATCGCAAGACAAGATTGCAGTAATATTTTACTGTGCAAATCACTGCTATTTTATACAAATATCCGCCTATTTAGTTTATTATGGCATCGAATTAAACGAAAGGCAGTAATCGCGAGCCAAATTAAACTAAATGACTATGCCTAATAATTTAATTATTACCATATATTTCCAATTAGAAATTGAATAAAATTCCGACTGAAAGTTCTATAATTTGAATATTAAAAATAACGTTATTTAATATTTAAAAATGTTGAATGATGATATGAAAAATGGCTAAAACACCTCAATTTTGCAAATTGGTAATATAATAATCTAAATTTGGAAGTAAGTTGCAGGATTTTCTATAAATTTAAGGTAGTAAAGTTGAAAGTCGGTTTTACTAAGCTGAATGTTGAATATCAGTAAACAATGGTGAATTAATCTTTGAGAGCAGAAATGCCCTTCTAAAAGTCCATAATCATGGGTGCATGAAATCTAATTATATAATTTTCGATTCCTATCATTCAAATACCAAAAGGAGGACAAATATGTTGAATTGAGAATTGGAAGTGATAATGAAATGTCGTATTTGAAGACATCTTAAAAGGCAAAGACTAATACCTTTGGTAAGTAAATAAATCTGAATGGAATAGGTGTAAAACGCTCATCGTAGAAAGTATGATTTGATCGGGTGTGACAAGAATGAATACTAAAAATGGCATTTTCAGAGAAAAATGATATTGCTACATTTTGATAGCGATTTCGCCGCGAGAAGGTGGTTGGTGATAATTGACTTTGGATAAATGCATGTCCCACAAACTTAATAAAAAAATTTATGCGATACCTATGTGCACAAGTTCTTTCGAGAAACCACGGCCCTCAGATGTAGTTTCCATTCTGAAATCTCAGAAAGCGTAACAGGAAACAATGGGAAATAATCTGAATGCTAACTCCTTAAATCACACCTATTTCAGTGTGCCACCATTTTAAATAAATTAATTTTAAATTCAAAAATTTAAATCAAGAGAAAATAGAAGACAGAAAAATTGGACATCTAAAGCCGAACTTTATTGTCAAAATTGCACCCATCATCGTCCTTCTTTCTGCTACTAATTTTACTGCATAATACTAACCTCAGTTGTTCAAAATATGGTATTGGGTCAAATCAAAATTGTAACTACCCAGTAATTGTTCATTACAATTTATTTTGAGATATCTAACAGCAAATAATATTTCCATTGGAGCATGCTCAATCGTTCACACAAAAGGCTAAATATTTCAAACGATAAATTTTGACTTCAAATTCCACAGATATTGAAATTTTCAAATAATGTGGAAAGTCAGTTTGTTATTTATTTTTAAATCTCGTGCAGGATGATAATTATTGTTTTTTTTGCAACACACATCAGGAATTGAGCTTTGCGGTTCTAGAGGCTTTCAGTCAGTGAATTGGAGAGTGAAGGTGAACGTACCTATTATCATGGAGAGCTAGTAATCAACATGAAAATTTGTAAATTTTAGTTTCCATAATATTTTAATCACAATTTTTCAAAAAATGGAAAATTTCAGTGAAAATTATTAATTCCCCAAAAATAACAGAGATATTCCAATGAAATGAAAGTAAAGTGACCTATTCCCTCTTTTCATACCTTGCTTAGAAATAAATAAATGATTGAAAACATGGCTATCAAAAGTAATAGAAGAGCTCACTTTGTTAAAGTCCCTAGATCAGATCCTTCTATGGCCGAGAAATTGGAAAAGAGATTGTGATTTCATCTTTGCATACTCCACTAATGGAGAAGAATTTTGATTGGTTTACGCCGAATGAACCAATGTCAGGCTTCTATTTTTTTCGGCCAAACTCGACAGATACTTGTGGTTTTAGTAATTGCCAAATCATAAATCGAGTGCGACACGAAATTTAATGGGTTTCGTGTTAGCTGTGGGAGATTAAAATCACTTGCTACCAGGTCTATTAAAGTTAATAATTCAGTTGTACAAACATATCGATTTGTAATGTTGAAAACGAGTTAGACGTGACATGGATAACTCGGGAGCTTTTTGATTTTGAGATTTAAATTTAATTAACCTTCAAAATAAATTGAAATCTTCTTAAATAAATTTGTGGCCACTAAATTTCAATTTGCCAGCATTAAAAATGTGACATTCACTATATTTCAGCAGCTTTATTGAACAGTTTCAAAGAATTGTCATTGAAAGGAGAAAAACTGCGTTGAGTGAGTTAATAATTATTGCGCCTCTAGGCAGAGTTTTCAATTCTACTCTGCCAATCTATCTAATTCTATTGGAAAGTGTCAATTTAAAATAGCAGCATTATTATGTATTATCAGAAAACAGCTTATCACGATTCCGGTAGATATTTATTCTATTCCTCACCCTCTCGTGTAGACTTATCTACTTTGTTTTACTTTTGCATTCGTAATTGTGCAGAAAGGTTCCACAAAAACAATTATTGCCACAATTTAGAGATTAATTTGTCCTCCTCTTTAAGTAATGCTTTGTCAACCATCGTGCAGAACTAATTATAACCCATTTAAATTTTTCCAAGTTATCATATTATTTATTATTAGTAGTAGTAGTATTAATTAAAGTTATGCAATTGGCCTATTTACTTGGGAACCGCATTGAGCTTACAACCGCGACAATAGAATGCATATTTTTAAGTTCTGGGAAAATGAATAGAAACAGAGAGAGAGAGAGCTCTGCGGGTTGAATGATTTCTTTTCTTCCATTCTGAAAGTTTTCCCAATTAGAAATCGAGATATTTGCACGAAAGGTGGGCTGTATCCGATATGCAGATTATTGGTTAATGATTTTTTCAAGGGCATTAGTTTCCCAAACCAGGTACACTCATTTCAATTGCATTATCTCCTCTAGCAAAGCAATTATGCAGAGCCAGGGCTTATTTTTCTTTCCACTTTCTATGTCGAATAATTAGTCCCTTCCAGGCGGAAAAGAACGTTCAATGTGCTATGGAATCATCGTCAGTAAAATTCGTAATTCTCTGAGCACTTTCAGAATTTGAGAATTCGACCATTCGACATTTTTGTCTTTTTTTTCTAATTTGGCATTCTAATTTTATGTAATCAAGCATTGCCCAAGGTTTGGATGATAGCTTTTATGAGCATTAACTGAGTTGTCAATTTTTATATGAAATTGATACATTCAGTAACGCTTTTGCTCTTTTAACTTACTGATAACTAATGGAATTGATAAACTACCGAAATATTTTTAAAAAAACAAATGATAAAAGCTTTCAATAATTTTGGAATTTTTTATTATTGCTTCCATTGACCATGGTACAAAAGTAATATTAAACATTTTGTCCCGAAAAGCAACCATAAAAGTGAAATTTCGTAGATAATGGCGCAGGCCAATAATAAGTGAGTAATCAGGACAGAATAACTGGTTAAAAAGGGTTGAATATTTTGCAAATGAACTCTTCCACGAACTAAGTTCTGAAGAGTGAACAACATTACCATTTAGTGCCCTAAGACAATTCTTTGTACGATCAGTAATATCCCAGCCAATCAACGATCAATAAGCTTGCATTGGAGCATTAATTATTCTTGATTAACAAATATTTTTACAGCGAGCTGTCTCACAGATCACCAACTGTATTGTTGCTCATTTTAAGAAATATTTATTTCAAATGGCAGGCGTTTTGATAGTTATCATTAGCCCTACGGGACTTCACTGAGAGGAGGAGGAACATCAAAGTGACAACAAGTCGAGAGGGGGACAGAATAATGATTCACAGATGCAAGAGAGACAGACAGACAGACACAGAGGCATAGAAAAGGTAAGATGAGTATCGTGAAAGGGATCAAATATGACAAACAGTCGGGTTATAGTAGTTGGAAGTCAGAAGTCAACTGCCGATTAATAGACTTTTAGTCGCATAGGTATAAGTGGAGGTAAGTCTATTGCACACCCCTCATTTTAAGAGTAATTTAACCTGAAAGAATTTACATTATGTCAGTTGTTCTTGTCTGCAGCTAGCTGAACTTCATAGATGATAATCGTGTATAGTCAA